TCAGCCTTCCTGCTCCTCTGATGCTGCTTGGCCTGCTGTGTTCATCCAGCTCTGCACCTTGTTATCTCAGATTCCCCAGCATCTGCAGTTCCTACTATCTCTGACCTCATAGTTCTTTCTGTTTTGTGTTGGCAAGATCAAATTGCTGTTTGACTACAGTGTGATTGAAGACCCTTGGTTTGTATAGCGAATCTTATAGCTCGGTTGGCTGGATGGTTGGTTTGCAAAGCTGACAGCATGGGTTCAAATTCTCCCACAGGCTGATGTTACCATGAAGAAATCTCTTCCTCTCCCTCTTTGCTGAGGCATGGTGGCCCTCGTTGAATCACCACTAGTTGTCTCTCTGTTTAATGAGAGAGTAGCCCTGTCGTCTGGTAACTTGATATTTAGACATGGGTCTTACCATTGAGTTAATGGTTTGGATTCAGGATATTCTTGGCGTTTTCTCTGATTTTCATTAAATGCTTCACTGAGATATTTCTTCTTTGGGTTTTCTTTAAGGATTATATTTCGCAGTGAGAGGGGTAGTATTGTTTTTTTTTCCCAAGTGTCTGCACAATTGAACAACTTTCAAGCCTGTGGCAAGACAGAAACCAATTGTCCAGGGGCTGAGCTGGGCCCTAAAACTCTGGAAAATATGAATGATTGTGGAAGATGGACAATGCAAATCCAGTGGATTACATTAAGGCTTTAGAGTTAAATTCTGAGCATGGTATGCATTGCATTGAGTTTAAAAGATTGAGGGGCATTCTAATTGAGATTCTATACATGGCCAAAAATCATGGAGTTGTTTTTTTTTGTACAAAGTTTTTCCTATGTTTTCATGTAAAACTTGGTCCCAACTTTCCAAGAAGCAAATTGTGCTATGATTATTAATTGCAAACTAGCAATTATACAGTTCTTTAATTTAAAGATGCCCATGGAAGCTATTGGATTATCCCTTCCTATTCCCCCAGTTTTAATAGCCATTTCCCAGTCAATTGACAAGACAGTCATGATATTTTCATAATGTATTTGAGGAAGAATAACAGCAGTTTAATAATGGACATTCATTTGGCTTTTTTATATATACATTTGAGCTGGGTAATGGAGCCCCTGGTTTAGTGTTTCATATGAAAGGAAGAACCTCTAAGTGCAAAACTTCCATAGAACTGTACTTGAATATAAGCTTTGGTCTTTGTGCTCAAGTCTTGGAGTAGGACTTGAAACCGAAACTGAACATTTAGCTCAAGTGCAAACGTTATTAACTGAACTGCTGAATGAGAGGAATGAACAGCCAGGAAGACTTCAAGGGGACAGGCTTAGATAATAAACTGATAATTAGCAGATTTGTTTCAGAACAAGAATAAGGAATGGAAGTATCCCTTAAAGTTCCTAGTTCAGTAGAAAAGCAAATGACCTGATTGTTCAATCAATTTAACTATTTATAAAACTTTTTTAAAAAGGCCACTGAGTAGGCAATTGAATTATAGGATTTACATCAGGAGAAAAATAAAGAAAACGTACTGACAGTACAAGTTGTTGCTTAGATTTTAACTAGTTTACTGTGTGTAACTTTGACTTGCTCGGGTAGAATGCAGAGCGCAGTAATAGGTCATTTGGATCAATTAGTCTGTATTTATGTTTATACTCCACATGTTGGAATGATATGCTGAAAGGCTGAGGTGCAGAGTCTTGTGTTCATATCTAAGGGAAAAAAATCTTCTGATTTCCTTGTGCATGCATAAGCTATTTGGCTCAACTTCATTCTATCCAGTCCAACTCAAGACATTTTTCTCAATTTTCCAGTTGTTTATTTATGACTGTTCTGTATCTGTGGCTCCTATTTTTGCATTTTGCCCCAAGAGAAAGTATTTACTCCACATCTACATTATCCACCCTATTCAAAACTTTAATGTCCCTTTTCAGACTACCTGAATTTACTACTTGAAGTTAAAAAGCCCAACCTGTTCATTTTTGCCCTATGGCTGCCCACTTAGTTCTGTTACTGGCCTTGTAAATCTACTTTTGCTTTTCTCTAGAATTTCTACATCTTTTTTTCTTTAATATGGTGACCACAACAGTGTACAGTACTCCAAATGCTCAAAAATGCAACATGTTTGACAGGGACAAAGGACAGAGTTATAAGGGCTGTATTCCCTCAAGCTTTATTGAATGGATTCAAAAATTATGACAAGATCAACAAAATAAATAAAAGATATTTTCATTGTCAAAACGTGAGGACAAGATGAGCAATAGCAATAGTTCAGTATTTCAGACATTTTAAAAAATGTATAATTAAATGAAGGCATTTAGGTTTAAAATGGGCAAACCTTTTATGTAACATTTTTTGCATCATGCTGAAAGGAGATGTAGATTCTCAAACAGATCCTGTACGTGAATCTAAAAGCAATGTAGTTTGAATTTTTATTTCCACACTTCTGTTACATCAGTGAACAATATGTAATGTGTTTTCTTGTGTGGCACTGCTACCTGCAACGCATCTAGTAATTTTTACCTTTTCGCTATTTTGCTTGACAAGTAGCTTGTGTGGATCAGGAGGAGAGGGCAGCTTCTGCCAACATTGGGATTCTAAGAAAGTATGAGCATGGAAGGGCTAACTGTAGAAGATGATATCTCTATATTGAACCATGAAGAAGCCAGCCCTGAAGTAACAAACCTGAAGTATAGCCCAAGTGCAGTTTCTTCAGGCGATGAATCTCTTGCTTCCCACTTTGCACTTGTCACAGCCTATGAAGACATCAAAAAACGACTGAAGGAAACAGAGTCTGAGAATTCTTTCTTGAAGAAAAGAGCCCGGATTTTGGAAGAAAGGGTAAAATATATTTTATTAAATTATATAATTATAATATTTAGCTTTGAAGAGTTGTTTTGTCAATGATTTGATATTTGCTATCTCTCTCTTCCCCTGCTATCTTTCTCATTCTCTTCTCCACTTTTCCATCATCCCATCGGGCATGTTTTCTAATCTAACTCTCTCTTGTTATGATCGTGCTCAGACGGTCAAATTTGTGCTATGACCTGACTAGGAGCCAGTACCTTCTATTGAAAGGTGGGCAAAGCATGAAATTCCAGGTATTTACTGAACAAAACCCACATGATTCCACTGTTTTGAACAAACAAGAATAAACTTTACAAAGGTAGCACAGTAATACAATCTGTTTGTGTGGTGTTTTATTTATATATAACTTGTATTGTATTGTGAAGAATTAATGTGAGACAAACACTGGGAGCAGACCAGCTGTGGTTGTCCACCTCTTGGAGCACTTCAAATAACAAATATAGTCAAGGTGGATTCCATCGATTTTGCAGCAGCACCCACTTTCTACCAATGTATATGTGTTGACGTAACCTCATTAAAACTTTGTAAGGGATTCCAATTCTTCTCCCTACGACCTGGCTTTCTTATTGTGGACTTTGCAAATGATTGCTTGCCTTCTGGGTGTATACCCTCTTTCCCTGGAGGAATGCCCCCTTGGATTCTGGAAACTGCACCTTTGGGCATAATTCTAGTTTTTCCATGGATACCTTGTTTTCTCCAAGCCAGTACTGTCCCTGGGTATTTGAGTTACAATATCATTTGGCGTCACCAAGCAAGTATTATTTGTGAGCTTGTTTCAATCCTTCTTTCACTACACAATTGTAAGTGGCTGTTACGATTATGCTGAGCTGAAAGCAGTTCTGTGAACTTTTCCCAAATCCTAAATTCACCTCGTAGCTGCACTCACTGTTTACCAGTATTTCTCCAAGTGCAAACTGCATGGAACTATCAAGTAGCTTCTTAGAATTCTTCCTGAGATGCCAGCTATGCAGACACAGCAGTCTTCGGTTGCCTTCTCAGCAGTGCAGTTAACTGTACTCTCCTTGCACAGAGCCTGCTATTCATTCTGTGTCTAACTCCAACCTACAGTGCTGTAATCTTTGAGCTATTCTTCAGTGTCCCTGGAACTATTTTTGAGTGGCCAACTTACAAAAGCTCTCAAATCACTACCCCTGTTGCTAGGTAGAAACAATTATAACTAATATTGGAACATTAAGTTCCTAAATGTTATGATTTTTGCAACTTGCTAGCTTGCACAATATAAATGAATCCAAGAGAAAATTGAGCAGCATGGTGGCACACTGCTGTCTCACAGTGCCAGGGAGCTGGGTTCAATTCTATTCTTCAGTGATTGTCTGTCTGTGTGGAGTTTGCACGTTCTCCTTGTGTCCGTGTGGGTTTCTGCTGGGTGCTCTGGTTTCCGCCTTGCAGTCTAAAGATGTGCAGTTTAGGTGGATTGGCCATACTAAATTGCTCAGTGTCCAAGGATATGCAGGACAGGTGGATTAGCCATGGTAAATGTAGTGTTACAGGATATGGTGAGGGGGCCTGGGTGGTATGCTTTGCGGAGGGTCAGCGTAGACTTAATGAGCTGAATGGTCTGTTTCCACACTAGGGATTCTGATTCTACAAAAATTGGATTTCTTAATGCTGTTTCTATTTAGCTGTCTCTGTCATTCTCTTTTTTAAAAAAGAGGTGAATAGCCCATTAATTTATTGAGTGACCTCAGAAACATGAAGCAGGATTCAATTTACAAGCTTGCTAGTTTCCATTAAACATACAGCAATTTCATATTCCTTCATATTATTCAATCCTTTTATTATCGTTGTTGCTAAGTTACACTTTCAAGCTTGTATATCTTTAAAGTAAATATGGATTGAACCAATCAAAACAAATGAATTCTCTAACTTTAATGTATTCTCACTTTGCTATTTGGTAAGTCACTAATAGACCAGTTCAGCTGAAGAATGTGATACCTTTTACTGTCTATGAAGAAAATCAGTTAGGTGAAACAGATGTTTATATCATCGTCTTCAAACTGCATTAATAAGTTTTAAATTACTGATTTTGCAGTTTGCAGTTTTTTGATCAAACCTTCCATTTGTGCATGTCAAGCTTGGAGTATAGAATGTAAATTCTATCCCATCATGGAATTTACCATTTTATTTCCTGAAGGAAATTCCTACTTAATTATTCCTAATTACCCATTACCAATGCGTGGTTCATCCATCCATGTACCCAAGATATTCAACCAAAGACACAGACTCTCTCAAACCATGTTTTGTTTTGCTTGGTTATTCCCTGGTAGTCTAAGCACCTATTGTCATGAAGTATGTAAACCTCCAATGAATCATTACATTGTTGTGACGTGCCAAATAATTGGGCTAAGGTCAATTCAAATTGTGCAAGTATTGTTGATAACCTATTGGCTACAGTTTAAGGGTGTGACAAGCTTGTATTTTGTTCAGTAAACTTTGGATCTGTTCAGACATGTTTGGCTCTATTTGTTTGACCTACCCATCATTCTGCAGCTTTGTACAGCTTTGTTTCTCTTAGGCTGAGAATCCCTCCTTGCCTTTGCAAAAGGAACACATCACTGTGGAAAGGAAACATAAATGTCAGTGGGGGTGATAAAGTAAAAGGACACCAAGTTTCCCATCTCTTATTTTTTCCATTACCAAATATATTACTACATACTGATCTTCATTGAAGCTGCAACCATTTGTCTGCCTTTGACATTTTTTCCAAATAAACATTGACATATTGAGTTAACTTGTGAATACTGCAGATTTTTTTTTACAAAGATGATAGACTAGTGTTTATTTAATCATCATTTGCATAATAGCCGTGGCTGATTGTATGGAGAAGGCTCTGTGCAACTTTTTACTGGAATTTATCATGGGGGATAGATTGTGAAAGGAATGAACCTGATTAATAAAGTCTTGCTCAATCATTGCATTACTTTCATGAAGATAATTTTCTTATCAGTAAACATAAAAATTAGCTTCATAATGATCGTATGAATGGAAATGTGAAAACTAGTGTCTCTAAGGTGTGTTATCAAATATGCAAAATCATTTGAAATAAAGTTAAATCTGCCTTTGCCAATGTAAGCTTTATTTTGAGATTGTAATAATTAATTTTTGTTTGTTTTTGTAAAAGTTATGTTTATTGAGGGGTATAAATAGCTTTTCTGAAATTCCCTATTCAAGTGGAGAGGCCTCATTCAGAAGTTTGGAATATTTTTGTGGATAAAATGAGTTATAGGGAGAGCCTGAATAGACTGGAGCTTTCTTCCCTGGAATGCAGAGGTAGGGGTGTGACCTTAGAGGTTTATAAAATCATGAGGGGCATGGATAGAGTGAATAACCAAGGTCTTTTATTTCCCCAGAGTATGGGAATCCAAAAATGGAGGGCATAGGTGTACTTTGAGAGGGGAAAGATTTAAAAAGGACCTAATGGCCAACTTTTTCATGCAGGGGATGGAGCACGCAGGAATGAGTTGCCAGAGGAAGTGGTGGAGGCTGGTACAATTAGAACATTTTGTAATGCATCTGGATGGGTATATGAATAGAAAGGGTTTAGAGGGATACGGACCAAATGTTGGCTAATGGATTAGATTGGTTGGCATTGACAAGTTGGACTGAAGGGTCGGTTTCCATGCAGTACTACCCTATGACTCTAAGTGTGACTAGGTCACATTGGGAGGTCTAGTTGACGTGGACAAGTTGGACTGAAAGGTCTGTTTCCTTGCTATTTGACTCTTACTCTATAAATATATTATGGAGGCATATGTGAATTCCTAAATAAGAGTGTAATTTTATTTAAATGTTTATTTCTCTCTTTTCAGCTTCTTACTGCTTCACTTGATAATGAAAAAAATTCTTTAGGACAGGAGGAAGTGAATAAAGCGTATCAGGCATATCGGGAAGTCTGTATTGAAAGAGATAAGATGAAACAGAGACTAGAAAGAATGGTAATATTCATTTATGCTTTTACATAATGTAAGATAACTGTAGAAATTGAATTTTCCTTTGAATGTTGAATGATTTTCTATAGTAAATGATTAATTTGAAGTGGATTTTGGATGTTTGATAAATATTGAAAACATCAAGCATGTTAATTATTTTCTCTAAAGCTCTTGACTTTTTAATATGTCCTCAGATCTTTGACAAATAGAGTAAGTACTGATGAATTGTGATCCACTGTATTGAAAAATAATAGAACTTTTAGTAAACTTGTGTTTGTTATAGTTTATGCACACCTTTTATCTGTAGCCATCTTTAAGTTTGGCCACTTCGTGAATGTCTGCTTAGGTAGACTCCTGTTCACTGGACAGAAGTTGCCTTCAATTGTGAGCCAGCCAGAGAGTGCTGCTTGCAGTCTGTCAGACTGGCATAAAGCAGCAAGAACACTTCATCTTCAGCTGTGAAGTTCTAATTTGTTTCTGGTGTAGTTCTTAAGAGTTAATAAAAATATATTCGCTTTGTTGTTCACACTACTGATGAAAAGTTTGTGCTTTAAAGATCAAAGAGCAGATGGATTCTGTGCGAATTCTGAATGAAACTCTGCAGGCTAAAGAAGTAGAGATTCTTCAGCTCCGAAGTGAAGTTGAAACCCATCAAGGTACATTCTTCTAGAATACTTTCTTGTAAGAAAGGTGATAATGTAACAGCGCATGTTGCTAGCAGTCTCATGGGGTATAAGAACTGTGTGTGGAATTAACATGCTAGTTTGTTCACTTTAACAGTGCTATAGGAAAGATATTTTGCATGTCACGGTATTGACAGATATTTGAGGGTTCCAATTTTGATCCGTGGCCTGTTCTAAAATCTAATCTCTGCCAAGGTAATGGTGAATAAAAACGATTAACCTCAGAATTCCTGGGTTTAAGGAATGAATAAGAAACCAGTATTCCTGCCCTTCGTAATTATCCATATGTTTGAGAGATGCGGCTTAAATGTGACATCCACTTGGTAGGAAAACATACAAACAAGGAATAAGAGTAGGCCACTTGTTCCTTTAAGCTTGCTCCACCGTTTACTAAGGTCATGGTGGACGAGATTTTAATGTTAACTCTACATTGCTTCATTTCTCCAATAAGCTTTCATCCTCTTGTTCAAGAATTTATCTACATCTATCTTAAAAATATTTGTAGATTCTGCATCCACTATCCTTTTAAGGCAGGGAATTCCAAACACGCTCAACTGCCTGAAGAGGGAAAAAGTTTCCTCGTTTCTATTTTAATTGGGCAACGCCTTATTTTTAAACAATGACCCCAAGTTCTAGACCTTCCCACGAGAGGAAGCATCCTTTCAGCATCCACACAGTCAAGTCCCCTCAGGATGTGAAATAAAAACCGAAAGAACTACAGATGCTATAAATCAAACAAAAGCAAAAGTAGCTGGAAAAGCTTAGCAGGCTTGGAGGCATCTGTGAAGAGAAATTGGAGTTAACATTTCAGGTTCTGAGGAAGGGACACCGGACCTGAAACATTCACTCTAATTTCTCTTCACAGATGCTGCCAGACCTGCTGAGCTTTTCCAGCAACTTTGTTTTTATTCCTGTCAGGACCTTTGTAGCTTTAATTAAGTCACCTCTGGCTTTTCTAAACCCCAGAGGATACAGAACTAGCATTTGAAGCCTTTCCTTATAAGGAAGTTCACTCATTCCAGCTATTAGTCCATTAAACCTTCTCTGGACTGCTTCCAACCTATTAACATTCTTCTGCAAGTACAGTGCGCAGTACTCCGGGTGCAGTCTCACCAATTCAAGGTATAACTGAAGCCGAAATAGGCTACTTGCAATCATTGTACAATCAAGTTATTGGCTATCTGGAACCACTTATCAAGATAGGAAAGGATGGAAAGTAGGCAGAGGTGGGAAAGTTGCATTAGTAATATGTACTTGATATCTGCATCTGAACATTATTGTTGTACAACTTAGAAATCTCACTTGAGTAATGGTATATTTACAATAGGAAAATATTATTACATAACTGCCAAATCCAAAAGAGCTGCTTGTCAACTCCAAACTGTGGTTTTGCAGGTTTACTTCAAAACCCACGTTACTTCAATCAGCTATCAAAGCAAGTTCAAACATTTTGCCTACAGATAATGCAGGTAGATGTGAGATTGTCCCAATACTTTGCTATTTCTAACTTTCCCTGAAGCATACATTGACAGGAATGTTTTGAACAGTGCTTTGTGATTGTTCTGCACTTGAAGATGGTGGGCATCCAGTTATGTTTGGCAGCTTTGTTGATGCACCTTGGGAGATGTTATTCAATATTGGTGTTTTTAAATATTCATTTGTCAGTTGTTAATGTCACTGGTTGAGCCAGTGTTTATTACCCATTCATAATTGCCTTGAAGAATGTGGTGACGAGCTATGTCCTTGAGCTTCTGTGGTCCTTGGTATGCGAGGGCACCTATATAGACTGTAGGAAGAGTTCCAGGATTTTGATCCACCAGCCATGATGGAAGGTTGCCAAGTTGACAATCCAAAGGCAAGCACTGATTGAGCTAATTGGATCAAGAAATGGAGATGGAAGGGAGACAATAAATTTGAGACATTTTGCTATTTACTGACAATTTTTAAGCTTTTAAAAAAAATGTGAATACAGAGGTGAAGCATTTTATTTAAAAAAGGAAGCCTTTTTCAGTATTTGGAAGAATTTCATTACAGATGTGCTGTCAAATATTTGATAAATCTTCTATGGAAAAGGCAATGCAATTTCTGTAATTAAGCAATTAACACTTTAATTGTTTTTTTTGCTAATTTGTAGTGATGGATGATCTGCATAGAACCCAGCATTCTTGGGATTTAGCAAAATCAAATAATGAGCTGAAGATGTATACCCTGAATCAACAGCTGGAGATACTTAAAAAGGAATGCAATTTCCTTAGAGTAGAACTACACAACTGTAAACAAAAGGTAAATTCACAGTTTGTCTGCAAAGAAATACATGTTTAAACCTGTATTTGTGAATTATTTTCTGTATTTCTACTACATTAATATATACATATAGTGGTTGTACTTTTTTCATTGTACATTGGTCTATTTGGACTGTTTACTTTTTTTGGCTATAAAAACTGAAACTGTGGAAGAAAGAGGAAAAGGGTTAAATCTTTGAATCTTTCAGGTCAGCAGGGGTGTGACATATTACAGATTAACAGCTTTCTAAAAGTTCAGAACGTAGTATGTATGAGGAAGAATGACTACAATTCTAAAAAATGTAAAATAAAAAGAGCTGTCGCTTGCTACTTTTAATCTTTGCCCAATGCCCACTCTGATCTCTTGGTTTTGACCTATATACTTCTGCTGGCCTCCAATGAGAACACTTGAATTGATTGAGATCGACAACGTTAGATGTCAGAGGAGTTTGGAGTCTAGATGACTTGGCTGAATACAAGTTTTAGGATAGTCTGTGCAACTGGACTTGTGGCACCAGGGCTGATGCTGAATGAAGAATGATGTGAGAGCAGACATGAGGATTACATGCAGTTCTCCAGTAGTACCACTGCTGATTGTTGGGTTACTTCTCGGAATTCCCATGCGTCTCGGAGGATGTACTTGGGAATGTTTTTGAAATATGCACTGTGGGTGAACTATTTGTTTCAGTTTCTTGTTCAGACTTTGATATGAGTAAAAATGCCCCTGTCTTTTTACCTTCTCCAACCTGATAACTGTAGAATAACTGTAGAATAACTGTAGAATAACTGTAGAATA